TTTTTGTTTTTCCTCTCTAATCTGATTGAATTGCAGTTTTATTTGGTGTCTTTTATCTGTTCATGAAATTTCCAGCAATTTTTGAGTTAAATTTCGAATTTACCGTATTGACGCTTAAGGGGTTTTGTTAATTATGTTGTTAAGTTATTTGCAGGTGGTGTTCATTGGTTCTCAATTCTTATCCATGGTTTGTGTGAGCATATGATTTCTGTTCTGAGGATTTCTGCTGTTAATTGGCTGTATCTCATATACTCTGTCTTGCTAGGAGTATTGTTCTATATATGAACAAAGATGTTGATGTTTCGTGCTTCTTTACGGTTTTTTTTCTTGTGAATAGTCGAAAAAATAATTAATTTTGTGCATATCGATACCCCAGTATTGATGTTTCGTGCTTCTTTGTGGTTTATTTCTCGCGAACAGTCGAAGGAATATATAATTTTGTGCATGTAAATACCCCAGTATTGTAGGTTTTCTTATCTATGGTTTATTGCTTGTGGTGAAAACAAACTTTTGTATGTGTACTTTGATGGATATGCCATATGGCTGAAACATACGATATATCATCAAGTTTGTGGATTTCCATTCTGTTAGGTTAGTGCAATGATTTTTGGTGCATGGTCCAGTCCTGTTAGTCGTCTTCTACGATGTGTTTGATATGACATGTAATTTATGGATTTCTAAAATTCCGTGGAACATATTTGATAAATATATCATTCATGGCAAGCAGGCTGTTTAGCTGATTGCTAGCTTAACCTCTTTGCTGTGATTTACACTTTAGATTTTTTTTTTTTTTTTTTTTTTTTTTTTTTTTTTTTTTTTTTTTTTTTTTTTTTTTCCTTTTTCTCTAAATGTTATTTGATAATTACCTATTAACAACAGAATAAAAAAGGATCTGGTTCAAGGAACCAAAATTACAGGTGTAACATTTTTAAAGGATAGTCTTCACTGCTTAGATTTAGTGCTTTGATTTGTGAGGTGTACGCCGTTCCATAGTTTCCAGATCAGGCTTCAGTCAGATGATATTATAAGTGAAAATAGAAAGGTCTTCTTGAGTTTCAAACTGGAAAATTCCATTAACGATGCCGTCATGCTCCAATGGATGTTGGACTTATACAGACTTATATTAATTTCTATATCGCCCATGTTATTACTATGTTTTTCCTCCCTATTGACTTTTACTGCTCATAGATGTGTGTATTATCTTGGCTACGTAAAGAATTTTACCAACTTTATGAGTTCTAAAACTTTCAGTTCTTTGTCACATCTTTTACATGTCACACTAACTTCTGCTCGCTTGGCCCGCATGATAAAAATTTATGTTTTTAGCAATTTGCAATGTCTTTTCTATCAGCAGTGTTGTATATTTGCATTTTTACCTCCTTTTGAGTTATGATCTTGATGACTATACTTGTGGTGTAAGTTATGGCTAGTTTCTGATTTACTTACATTGAAGTAGGAAGCCGCAATGGAAGCAAAACCACCTTTATCTATTCAAAGATCAAGATCAGGGCAAATTAGTAATTTTGGAGCCTCAGCAGACATGTCCTCTTCATTTCCCGTTCTTCCAGCCCCACTGCATGAGACATGTCCAAGATTTTCGGACTCCCATAACGTTGCTTTAAACAGGGAACAACTCGTGCACCAACCTGCTACTGCTGTTTCACAATTGTCTTCCGACAGTGGGCTCGTCGGGCACATATTTTCATCTTCTTCAGGATTTTCTACAGATCTTCAATTTTCAACCATGCAACAACATGGACAGCATCCAAGGCAATCCCCTTTTATTTCTCAATCAACGAGTAGTGGGAAATCAGCTGTGTTACCGAATCCAGTTGATTCTCGGGTTCTTCAGTCCACTGCATCAAGTCAATTTAACAAAGAAAATGACGACTCGTGGTGCGCTGATACATTACCTGATTTTCTTGATTTTCCGATGAGTACGGCTATGCTGGACAGTCAACTCGATGATAGCAACTGCGGCAGCATTACCGTTCCACCCGAGGATTTCGGTAAACAAAGTGATTGGCAGGATTGGGCTGATCAGCTTATTACTGATAATGATGCTTTGACTACTGATTGGAATGGACTTCTTGGGGATGCAAGTGTTGCAGACCTAGAACCAAAGGTAGATGCTATTTCTCTGGGCATTAGTTTTATAGCATGCTTTTAAAGAGAAGGAAAATATAAGAAAAAGAAATCTTCACTCGATCATCAATTAAGTATTGTGATCCTTGGTATCCTTGTTTGCATTAGTAATTGATGAACTTACGAAACATTTGCAATTGGATGTCACCGATTGCATGTTGTTTGCGGATGACAATATGTTAATAGATGAGACGAGAGAGGGGTCAGTACTAAGCTAGAAACATGGAGAAAGACGTTTGAATCTAAGGCTTTCAAAATAAGTAGGCCAAAACGAAATATATGTAGTGTAATTTTAGTAATCAAAGGAGTAATAATGGGGTAAAGATTAAAATTGGGGAACACGAATTGAAACATCTAAAAGTTTTAATTATTTAGGATCCGTTATAGAAGATAATGGCAACATAGATAAGGATGTAACACATAGAATTCAATTCGGGTGGAACAAGTGGAGGAGCGCGTCGTCGTTACTTCGCTCCTCTCCTTTAATTATACTATATGCAAGCCGCTTTTTCAATCTTGTGATTTTCTATTATCGTAAAATCCGAGGGTTGAGCTACGATGCTTTATGGATCCGAGTGCTGAGATACTAAATATGAAAATTATAAAAAAAGTGCGAGTGGCAGAGATGAGAATGTTGAGATGGATGTGTGGGCACACTATGTTGGATAAGATTAGAAATGAAAGTATTAGAAATACAGTTGGGGTAGCGCCCATAGAGGAGAAAATGAGAGAATCACGGTTAAGATAGTTGGGCATGTGCGTAGGAGAGACACCACGAGACCCCGGTGAGAAGGGTATATACATTAGAATTAAAAACGTAAACTAAAAGGGAGAGGGGTAGACCTAAGAAAACTTGGAAGGAAACAATAAAAAATGATTTAAAATATTTAAATTTGAATGAGGATATGTGTTTTGATCGAGCACGATGGCGACATGTGATCCATATAGCCGACCCCACTTAGTGGGATTTTAACAACTTGTTTTTGTTGTATTATCCTTGGTATCCTTGTTATAAAAACTTTCCATAAGCAATCGCATAAAAAGAATCTCAATAAGCATAGCATTTACCTTTGATCTTCTTATGTTACACATCAAACACATCAGATTCCCCAACCATCAAACATCTCCAAACAGCAGCCTCATGCATCCCAACAGCTACCAAGCACGCCTGGTGAAATTTGCACTAGTGGCGGTCAATCGTCATCAGGAAATGCTAATCCAGGAAAGCAGCGCATGCGTTGGACACCTGAACTTCACGAGGCCTTTGTGGAGGCAGTCAACAAACTCGGTGGCAGTGAAAGTAATCTTTGCAGCAATATTCATTGTATGAAAGTCACATGGTGTTAAATCTTTCTTGCTACTGACATTAATAGTTTGCTTTCACACAGGAGCTACTCCCAAGGGTGTCCTGAAGGTAATGAAAGTTGAAGGGTTGACCATTTATCATGTGAAAAGCCACTTACAGGTATGTTGTAATTTGTTGTAATCCTCTTTTCGCTTTAGAATTTGTTTTGTTTTCTCTCTTTCAAAACCTGCATTGATGGATTTTCCGTTTTCGATCTTCTTAATATCTGTTATCTGAACTGCAGAAGTACCGAACAGCTAGATATAAGCCACAGGCAACAGGTGTGAACTAGATTTTCCCGAACCTTTTGCTATAATTTCCATGTTTTTGCTCTATTTTTGCAGATTTTGATAGTTCTCCTTCATTGTACAAACTGAAAAATGAATGTGCATAGCTGGAGATTAACGATCATCATTTCCTAAGACTATGTTTTTCTTGCAGAGTCTTCAGAGAAAAAATCCACCTCCATTAAAGATTTGCCGTCACTGGACTTAAAAACGTGAGTTTGATTGTTATTAAATTCTTAGAAACTGAAAAGTGACAATTTTTTTTATTTTTTATTGTCTTGTAGTAATTGTATTCTTCTTAATCGCAATTTTCTGGATGTTTATTTATGAGTTCTGACATCCATTGGTCATGATTTGTGATCCCTCTTTTCTGAATATTCTATTCAGAAAGGGAATGTCAAATGTCTATGAAAAGAGTTTACTATAATTAACTGGGTCATAGATAGTGCTTTTAAATGATGCAAGACCGTTACGGTTGCTGAATTAGACCGGAATCAGATGGAGCTTTTCAATTGCATTATCTCTCTATGTTGCTGTGATATTCCCTTGAACTCAAATGTAGCGTTCTTCTTTTCTTTACAGGACACTGTTATTTTATATGTATATGACTAGACAGCTATATATGCGTTCAATTGGTGAAGGCACTTGTGTATGGTCGTCCTCAATCGACATTGTTTCATTATTGATAGAAGTTATATTTGTCCCACATTGATTAGTTATTGGGTTGTTATTGTGTATAAGTGGGGGTTGGGCACTGATGCAGCGCATTCCACATCGGGTTTGAAAGGAAACGAAGCAGGCCTTATATGAGGATGTGGATACCTTCACTAGTAAGACGCGTTTTGGTGGGTGTGTATTGAAGCCCAGCCAAGAACAAAGTCGTGCGGGTGGCGGAAGTTTTGGTGGGTGTGTATTGAAGCCCAGCCAAGAACAAAGTCGTGCGGGTGGCGGAAGTAGCCCAAAGCGGACAATATCTTACTAGGGTCTGCATCAGGCACCCTCTTCCTTTGAGCTATCTTTCGGGGATAAGCTCTACCAGTACACATTTATCAGTTATAATTGAATTTTTTAAATTGCCTAGAATCTTGGAAAAAGAAAAATGGAAAGATTTAGTTCACTGTTGTTTAGCTGCTTCCTATGCCATATGTTCCTTTTTCCCATTTTTGGTGAATATCTTGTCGAAAACAGGGGAATTGAGATCACCGAAGCACTGCGGTTGCAGATGGAAGTACAAAAGAGGCTGCACGAACAACTTGAAGTATGAAAATTTTGTGCTTTATATAATTATTCTGAACGCCGTTACAAGTAGCATGTGATTAAATTTCAATCCAAACACAACTGTTTCGAATTTCTTATGAAGGCTATGGATATTAAGTCTATTGATTTTCTAATTTGTTGTTGCATTGTGAAAACTGCTTTCTGCATATGGATGGCATTTAGTTTATTTTTTGATACAGGCACAAAGTATTGGAAAGAAAGAAATACAGAAAAAAATTATACAAAGATAAGTTGCATTGTTCTATATTCTTCTATTTACTATTATAATCATGGCTTTCAAAATACTGATTATGACATTTGACAACAACCCATGAGAACAAAAACGGTCAGCTGCACAATATATTGTTAGTAACATTTAACATTTTAATCTATACTTTTGTAGAAGTGCTTCTTTTAATACATTATGCCTTATTTTTCAAGTCGTGAACTGATATGTGATGTTATTCTGCAGATCCAAAGGAATCTACAGCTCCGTATAGAAGAACAGGGACGATATCTTCAGATGATGTTCGAGAAGCAGTGCAAGTCTGGAATCGACTTGGTAAAAGGGTCAACTTCCAACAATGAAAACCGAGACGAATTGTTAAAAAATGCCGATGGTAATGTAAAGCCAAATGAGGCGGCTAATGAAGCCAAAACACAAGGCGAAACTTCTCAGGTGGAGGCCGAGAAAGCAAAATCGGTCGAGCTTGAAAATCCCGAGGCAAGCTTTGGTGCCACATCCGAAGTGCAGCCAACAAAACGCGCGAGGGTGGATGAGTAGGCTGCGGGCCCCATCACCTACTGGGATCATGTGAAGACTCTGAAGTTTTTTATTGTCTATTGGACTTTGGAATGGCATTCTATTGGGCATGGGGCTTTTGTTTTCTCTCATGAACTTATTTATTTTAGTTCTTTAAGCAGACAAGTGACTTTGGAGTCTAGTACACTTGAATTTTTCTGCATGTAGTTTTTGGAATTAGGGACATGAGAGATTTTTCTGAGGTTTGAATGGGGAAAATGAAAGCTGATGATGTCTTGCTCTACTCGATGTTTTTTTTTTTTTAGTGTTAAAAAACAATTTGTGTAAGAATCTAGGAACCCTGTGATTAAAATAAAATGGGTTATGTGAATGAGTACTTTCTTCCTTTTTGTTTGTTTTTTTCTCCTCGTTTTTATGTACTTTTTTCTGTAAGGAGTGAGAAAAAGAAAAGAAAATTTCCCTCACTTAACAAAAATGGAATGTATACGAATCAAGAAAAAAAAAAACAGAAAATGCAAAGGAACATATTGAAACCAACTTTTGTGTGTGTGTGTGTGTGTGTGTGAAAGAGAGAGAAAGAGAGAGAGAGAGAGAGAGGTGTGTGTGTGTGTGTGTGTGTGAGAGAGAGAGAGAGAGAGAGAGAGAGAGAGAGAGAGAGAGAGAGAGTAGCCTTGGGATCGCCCAGTATCAGAGCTTTGTTCGAGATTGATCACTGTACTCCGATCTGTAGTAGTGTCCTAAAGGAGTAATTGTAGTACATAAAAAACATAGGGGAAAAGAAAAAACACTACAACGCCAATGATTTAAAAAGGATAAATAGAACAACGGGGAGCCATTGCGTGGCTACCGCGATTTAACTGGAGACAGTTTCTGAGGGGTCGGAGCTGTTTGGACTAGTCAGGCGCAAGCCTGGAACCTCGGTATCAAGATAAATAGAACAAGCCTGGAACCTTGGTATCAAGATAAATAGAACAATGGGGAAAATTTTCTACAAATGCTTAATGCACAACATCTCAAGAAATCAAAACGAAGTGCATGGCTTATCCGCCTCAAAACAAAGCAATACAATACACATCCAATCAAATCAATTTCACAAGCAAAAAATTACAATGTCAAAGATACAAGGGAAAGAATCAATTATAGAACTCGCGCAGCACTTCCACAAACATCGACAAACTTCTCAACAAAGCAAACACAAACAAAGCTATTAAAAAACCATCTCACAAACTCCACTAGGGTGCACCTCGACTCAAAAGAGCTCTATCCAGTCTCGTCTCAAAAGGTGTAGAGTGCCAATTAACTCTCTTATCCTGCATAGTTATGGTAATAGTGTACACACTAAAGAAATAAAGAAGAAAACTCTAAAAAGCAATGCAATTAAGACAAATCATCGACCACTTTCTCATTTCAAACGTACCTCTCTGTACTTGCTGGTCGTGTTCGGTATTCCCTTAAAAGATGATGAGTCAGAATGCTTTTTCGAACTCGAGTCGTTCCAGTATGTCCCGACACTGCCTATAATCGGCATCTCATCAGGGCTTCGACTAGGAGACTTTCGTGGGGAGTTATTAGTTGCTGAAATCTGTCTCAACTCCTCAACCGTCAGTGCACCTAAAATCGGTCGATCCTCAAAGCTCCTGACAGAAACACGCCCTTCAGACACATTTTTTTCAAAAACATTTGTCTCGAAACCACCAAAATTTCTAGTTTTGGGTGGCGTGATTTCAGGCGAAGAAAGCCAGTTCGAGAGACTCGCGTCCACCGCCACTTCTCCATTGTTCCTCGACTGATTGGTTTTCTTCTTGACAATTGGCTCCGAGCATAAAGACAGACGAGGTGGCGGCTCAAGATTATCAGCAGCAGTCAAATTCTCCTTCTGAGGCCTCAAGAGATTCTTCTTCCCTTCCGACTTCACAGCTTTCCACTGAGTAGTATTTTCCACAGGGCTCAGCACCGAATTAAGATAATCACTTTTGTCCCGGGCGTTGCCTTTCGACCCACCACCAGGCACAATAGGACAACTCTCCACTTCTTCATCATCATCATCAGCAGCTTGTGAAAAGGGGTTTTTCCCTGTCCTGGACTCAACCGATTCTGTTATATATGGTTCAGTACAAAGGTCATGGCCAGGTATTTTGGCATCAATCTCCTCATCATATTCATCATAATCGTTTTCTTCATCATACTCGTCGTCATCCAAGTCATCATCACTCTCATCCAAGTCATCATCACTGTCCCTTGCATTGTGGTACCTGTGATTGGGAGGGTACGACGCCACGCTGGAAGTGATGGAATTATCATCTGATGATATCGAATTTGCTTGGCTTGATGATTTCGACTGTTCATGTTCTTTCTCCTTCTCGACATTTTTAGAGCACTCTGGCAAAGACTCGATGCTGTCGTGGACCTGGCTGTGCTCGTATGTCTTGATATTTGAGTTAAATGTAACTTTTTTCTTCGGGCTACGACTCGGGCTCGGGCTTGGGCTCGTTTGTTCCACTGCCTCTGGTGTAGTTCTACACCAGAATTTTTATGGAAGCAAAGTTCTATTAGAAAGAAACTACATAGAAATTAGGAAACAGCATTCTCTCAGTTCATAACACAAAATCTGTTAGAAACATCTAAAAAGGTATGTCAATATGAATTTCACCTTCTCGTGTTATGACCAAAGAGTTTAATAATAAAGAAGTGAGGGCTTACTGCAACTCAGGAACCGAGTTCGTGACAGCAATTGTCTCTTTCAATGGTTGTTCTGATACGGTACTTGTCTCTTCGGTTGATTGTTCAGATATGGTGACTGTCTCCTTTAATGGCTGTTTAGATATGACTGTTTTCTCCTGGTGAACATTCTGAACTCGGTTTCTCTGTCACGATAATTTGATCATTCATTCAGTTCAGCACAATATACATAGATTGAAAGAAAATACATAGCATTGAAAAGATGAAAAGGCTTTATCATCACTGATGCCAAATATTAAAAGAAATAAGCTGTGGCAAATCTGATATAGCACATTAAACCAAATAAAAGCACCATCTGCAAAGTAGTTTAGATAAATGGGGAGAAAATTAACAACAAAAAACAAATAGAACCGAGTTGTTCTTCATCAACTCCCTAATGCACACACAATCGACCTAATCGAACATAAACTACTCATCAAATTATCACAAAACGCAAGCAAAAAGAAGAAGGAAAGACAACACCCTAGAAGGATCCAGAAAAACCCATCACTAACAAGTTACCGTCACAATCAAACACACACATACACACACACACACACACACAATCAAATGAACTGAAAACACAAACAAACAAAAACTGGCAGCCATAAAATCGAATCGGAGCTAAGAACAGAATCTTTACTTGACGCTGGGGGCTGCCCCGATTAACCCTCTGTCTCCGGCGTCTCTGATCCTTCGCGCCGCCAAAACATCCAAGAAAACAACCCATTATCGGACAAGAAAATCCCAATTTTTTTTGTTCTTTGTTTTCAGAGAATTGCTTTAGGGTTCTAATGATTAACGGAGTTTATGCACTAGTGAGCGCCTCCATCTCTTCTTTGCTTGGGCAGAAAAAGGGGAGAGAGGAGAGAGAGAGTGGGACCTGCGGAGAGAGAAAGGGGTACAGAAAAAGGAAGCCTGAAACGGTCGATTTTGGGGGTTTTTGGTGGGGTTGGGGTTTTGTTTTCTCTTCTGTCCATTTATTTTTTGAAAAGCAGGTGACCGTTATAGTTTGGCAATTGATGGACATTGGGCAATCACTTATCACAGGTTGAATTGTTGATTTTATTATTATTATTATTATTATTATTATTATTATTATTATTATTATTATTATTATTATTATTATTATTATTATATTATTATTATTATTATTATTATTATTATTATTATTATTATTATTATTATTATTATTATTTTGGGTGATTATATCCTCCTTTAACTCTCTACTCAAAGCAAGGGTAATTTTTTCAGATTATTATCATTGTTGGATAGCTTTCAGCCTTTCACTTCACATCATGTCAAATTGTGAAAACTAGACTTTTGTGAGTTTGGAACGACTATCCATAATACCGAATGTGTCCTGGATTATGTTCATTCGGATCTATGGGGACCTTCTAAGACCCCATCATTAGGAGAAAGATGTTATTTTGTCACTTTCATCGATGACTTTTCCATACGTGTTTGGGTGTACGCTATGAAGAAGAAAGATGAAGTGTTTGGTGTCTTCATTACATGGAAGACACAAATTGAGAATCAGACTGGAAGGCAGATCAAGGTCCTACGAATGGACAATGGTGGAGAATATACAAAGGATTTCTTTCAAGAAGCTTTCCGTAAAAATGGTATCGTTAGGTACTTCACCGTCAGACGATCACCACAACAAAATGGGGTGGCGGAGTGCATGAATTGGCCAATGGTGGAGAAAGTTCGATGTATGTTGTCCAATGCTGGTTTGGGCAAGGAGTATTGGGTTGAGGATGTAAGCCTGTAATATAAGCGCAACACCTCATAAATCGATTGTCGTCATCTGCAAAAGATGGTAAAACACCGTTGGAGGTATGGTCGGGGAAACCTATTGCTGACTATAGATCTTTACATGTCTTTCGTGTCCTACGTACTATCATGTGAAGGATTTAAAGTTATATCCAAGAGCAAAAAGACTTTGTTCATGGGAATCACAATTGGCATTAAGGGATATCGTCTTTTGTGTCTTGAGACGAACAAACTGTGTTTAGCAGGGATGTTACATTTGATGAACAAGGTATGTTAAAGAAGACGCAAGCCGAACAGGTAGAGTTGACACCGTAGCAGGTGGAGATAGATGCGATGAAGAGACAACTAGCTATGATCGACGAACCAATATCAAAGGATTCGTCAAATGATGAAGTGCAGACTTAAGAATCATTAGATTTACCCATTACATTGAAAAAGCCCAGATGAGAGCTCCAACAATCTGCTTGATTGGCGAATATGGTGGCTTATGCACTTCCAATTGTTGATGATGACATACTTTTCATTTTTTCAAGATGCAATTCGAAGTTTAGAAAATGAGAAGTGGAAATGGGCTATGGAGAAAGAAATGTTGTCTCTACAGAAGAATCAAACTTGAAAGGTGACGCAACTACCAAAAGGCAAGAGGCCGATAGGATGCAAGTGAGTATTTGCAAAGAAAGATGGATTTCATCAGAAGAATGATTTGCGCTACAAGGAAAGGTTGGTGGCTCAGAAGGAAGGAGTTGATTATAATGAAGTGTTTTCTCCAGTTGTAAAACACTCTTACATTAGAATTTTGTTGGCCTTAGCAGCACAATTGAATTTAGAGCTATCTCAACTTGATGTGAAGACAATGCTCTTACACAGAGAATTGGATGAGGAAATATACATGACTCAGCCAGAAGGATTCAAAATTCTTGGAAAAGAGAATTGTGTTTGTAAGTTGAACATCGTTGTACGGACTGAAGCAATCTCCGAGGCAGTGGTACAAATGGTTTGATAAGTTTATGATTGGGCAGAAGTACACGCGAAGCAGACATGATCATTTTGTGTATTTACGCAAGCTGCAAGATGGATCTTTCATTTACTTACTCTTGTATGTGGCTGACATGTTGGTTGCATCAAAGAACCAAGTGGAGATTGATCAGTTGAAGGCTCAGTTGAATCAAGAATTTGAGATGAAAGACTTGGGGGAAGCTAAGAAGATACTCAGCATGGAGATAAACAGAGACAGAATGAGAGTAAGCTTTGTTTGACTCAGAAGCAATATCTGAATAAGGTACTGCAGCGTTTCGGCATAAAAGATGAGTCGAAGCCTGTAAATACACCACTTTCCACTCATCTTAAGTTAAATGCCCAATTATCGCCAAATTGTGATGAAGAACGAGAGTATATAGTTAGAGTCTCATATGCAAATATAGTTGGCAGTTTGATGTATGCGATGATGTGTACAAGACCCGACATTTCACAACCAGTTGGCGTTGTTAGCAGGTATATGCATGACCCTGGTAAAGGTCATTGGCAAGCTGTGAAATGGATTCTACGGTATATTCATAGTACTATAGACGTTGGATTAGTTTTTTAGCATGATGAAGTTGGTGAATGTGTAGTTGGATATTATGATTATGACTACGCAGGCGATTTGGATAAGCGAAGATCAACGACTGGATATTTGTTCACTTTTGCGAAAGCTCCAGTTAGTTGGAAGTCTACCTTACAATCAACAGTTGTTTTGTGTACAACAGAGACAGAGTATATGACGGTTACTGAAGTTGTGAAGGAGGCTATTTGGCTTTAAAGTTTGCTGAAGACTTGGGAGTTGGTAAAAAACACATCTTAGTGCATTGTGACAGTCTGAGCGCTATTCACTTAGCGAAAAATCAAGTATTTCATGCAAGAACGAATCATATTGATGTTCGCTATCACTTTGTGCGAGTTATTCTAGAAGATGGAACTGTTGTGTTGAAGAAGATCAAGACGATGGAGAATCCTACATATATGATGACCAAGGTAGTGACAGCAGTTAAGTTTGAACACTGTTTAGACTTGACCAACATTCTGCATATTTGAGTTGGCGCCGAGAGGCGCATTTGAGGCACCGCCAGCAGTTGTGTTGGATTAAAGAGTCAGAGTGGGAGCAAAATTAGTCAAAGTGGAGAATGGTTAGATTTTGATTAATTTTATGTCCCACATCGGATGTGTACCAAAGATGTGTAGGGTCTTTTGAGTATAAATATGTCCCTTGTCTTGGGTTACAATTGCACCTTATTCTATTCTCTTATATCCTAGAAGGAAATCCTTAATTAAGGAAATCCTAGTGGGTTATTTAATCCTAGTTGTGGTTTTGTTGGTGATTTAATAAATTTAGCATTGTGGTTTGCGGTGCTCGGAGACGTAGGCTATTTTCGCCGAACTCCGTTATCAATTTTTGTGTTCTTTTTATTTCTCATCTTTTATTTGTGTTGACTTATTTTCGTTTAGAGTAGTACTTGTCATATTTATTGGAGGGGTAATTTTGTCTGGTGCGCTTGTTGTGGTACCCCTAACAATCATGGCTTATAGAGACAAAAACAAGTTGATTTTTATTATTCTCTAAAAATATATCCTATTTGATTATAATAGAACATTATTCTTTTCCATATCATACATGCTCCAATTTTCTATTTACTTCAAGAAATCACTATTTTTGTACTTGAACTAAACTCTAAGTTAGCTCATTCAAAAAGTGAGGTATTAATTTCCTTGTTAATTAATTCCCATACGTATTTTACTTTTTTAAAGTTGGACATGAGTAGTGGTAGCCAACTGCCGGCCCGCGACACGGCCCGGCCCGCCGGGTCGACGGGCCTCAATATTATGGCCCGTGACCGGCCCGAGAAAACCTATGGGCCGGTTCATAGAATCGGCCCGGAAATGCCGGTTCACTGGCCCCACGGGTCTGGGCGGTTCCGGGCCAGTACGGCCCTTAAAAAAAAAAAAGCAATGTGACTCGGCCCAACCCAGCGGGTAAAAAACTAAAAGTTTATGAACCGGGACCGAACTGCAACCCTACAGTTCCGGTTCAATGAATCGGCCCTTAGGAGGACGGTTCCGGGCCAATTCGAGCCAAGTTGGGACCGATTCACGGGCCGATTTGGCCCGTGGACACGTCTAGACATCATAAAAGAAAAATAAATCCTAAAATTGATAGCAACTTCAAACGAAATAGGGAGTTTAAAAGGGAGGCAAATGCAAAATCGTTCTTTCTTCTGACCAAAATTTTCCTGACTGGATCCTGCCCACAGGTACCCAATCAGAAGACGCCACGTCACATGCCCGCAAAGAGAAGGGAACCATTTTCCTTAAACCCAAAACTCCAAACAGGGCTATTTTGGTAAATATCCACACGAAACCAAAACCATTTTATTCCACAGCGCTAAAACGGAAAACAGTGCCATTCCTATTTTTCCTTCGGTCCGCCACACCACCACTAGTCTTCAAACGCTCCCAACCAATGAGAGAGCGCCACGCCACGCTGCTCGCTGCCGCGCTTCTCCTCATCATCCTGACGCCGGCGGCCGGAGGCGAGGACTCCGCCGGCCGTCTGGAGAAGCTCTCGGGGATAATAATCCCTGGCTTCGCGTCCACACAGCTGAGAGCGTGGTCGATTCTTGACTGTCCTTACTCTCCGCTCGATTTCAATCCACTCGATTTAGTCTGGCTCGACTCTACTAAAGTTTGTGATCTTATCATTTCTGTTATGTTACAGATTGCTTAGCTTGAGTTTTTTTTTTTTGGTTTTGGTGTTTTCGGTTCATTTGTGTGTTTTCTATTGAATAATGAATGAAGGACCTTAGAGTTCTCATATGATGGATGAGTAATTGAGTATGAATGAGTGCTGGCTTGTGTACATGTTTCTTATTGCGTTACATATCAATTAGTTGATACATTAGCTGAGGATTCGAATGATTTAGTTTTAGAGATTTTGTTGGATACACATTATATGAAAACTATATTAGATAAGATATAGAGTTTGGATGTGCGCCGTAGCAAGGACGATCTCGGAAGTGGAAATATTAATGAAATGTTAATTTCTGAGTTTGGATGTGCGTCGTAGCAAGGATGATCTCGGAAGTGGAAGTATTAGTGAAAAGTTAATTTCTGTCAGATTCATAAGTTGATGCTAAATCATATCATTATTTTTTATAAAGAAATTTTAAGTGTACATGATTTATTTTTTCGTAAGCGGTCCAGATTTAGTTAATTATATGGTGTCTGTGTACTGCATCTTATCTCATTTGGCTAATAATTTTCCTTCGTGAACTGGTTCATGGACTAATCATGTATTTTTCAGCTTTTGTCTGCAGTTAATTGCTGGCTAAAGTGTATGTTGCTAGATCCTTATAACCAAACAGATCATCCTGAATGCAAGTCGCGCCCTGATAGCGGTCTTTCTGCTATTACGGAGCTTGATCCAGGCTACATTACAGGCATGATTTTAGAGAAATAGGAATGCATTATCTTTACTTCTGCTGGAGGCATGGTCAGAAGAAACTTATATAAAAAAAGGGTTTCTCAATAGCCATGGTTCTGTTAATATGTTTATTGGTTTATTTAGTTATAAAGTTTAAGAGTTAACCTATTCTTTAGTGTGGAGATATTACATTTTATCCCTACATCCTTCTAAGTTATCATAAATACCAATATTTGACTTTCTAAAGGAAATATTATGCTGCTGCCTGATGTTATTGAAGCATTTGATTACATAAATTGCATGCCTTGGCATTCTGCAGGTCCGCTTTCTTCAGTGTGGAAAGATTGGGTTAAATGGTGCATTGAGTTTGGCATTGAGGCCAATGCTATAATTGCAGTTCCATATGACTGGAGACTGTCACCTGCCAAACTCGAGGAGAGGGATCTTTATTTTCATAAACTTAAGTAATCACTTTAACCAACTCTTTTATGTTATTCCAAAGTTCATTTTTATGAAATGCGTCATCTAGTTTTTATGTTTTGCAAGACCTTTGAACAATCAGTTATCAAATAAAATAAAAAAAAAAGTATGGAACTCGAAATTACATGAGATATATTTTCCGGTTACAAAACCAGATTACATATATGTGGAAATTTTACTATTTGTTCTCTTTTTGCACTTCAATTTATTTTGCATTAGAAAACAGTTTATTGGAGGCATTTCAACCATGGTTGGATTTCAGGGTACCTCTCCCTCTGTACATGTGTGTGCGCTTGTGCGCTCATGTGTGGTTGACCTTCGCTTTTGTCTTTGCACACTGATGAGAAATATTGAACTGATGTTCTTTGATTTTTGCAGGCTTACCTTTGAAACTGCTCTCAAGCTTCGTGGTGGGCCATCAATAGTTTTTGCTCACTCAATGGGCAACAATGTGTTTAGATATTTCTTGGAGTGGTTAAAATTAGAAATCGCCCCTAAAATGTATATCAAATGGCTGGATGAACACATACATGCATACTTTGCTGTTGGTAAGCTTGTGCACTTTGTTTGACTGACAGATAATCATTTGGAACTATGTGCCTAAATTTTAATGGATCTTATTTTGATTTGCTTCAGGAGCTCCTCTTCTGGGAGCAATTGAGACTGTTAAAGCAACACTATCAGGATTCACATTTGGTCTACCTGTTTCTGAGGTATTATATAACCCACACGAACTCAAAATGACTTATAGTATGCAGATACATTTAGTTGATGCGAACATAAGTGTTGCATATATGCATATTTTTTAAGATCACAGTTATTGATACCCCATTTTATCGCTATTTATTTTGTTTCTGTGAGCAGTTCCAGGGTTTAGGGAGGGAATCAAAGTGGCATTTTATGTTTCATAACTGAACCAATCTGTTTGAACTTCAACAATCTCCAAAAATATCAGTTGTTTTTGAACTAATTTAAAGCTCGGGCAAGTTTATCCCCAGAGTGTATCCTTTATGCAATGGATTACTATAACGAGTTATAAGTTATATGATTTTTCTGTGGGTTAGGTAGAGTTTTGACATATTGTATTGTATGGATAGGGGTAGAGGCCAAGATTTTGACTTCTTCTACTTTGTGTACCTGCATTTACTCCAGTTTATGAAAATAATTGGCAAGTCATCAGGGAACAGCTCGGCTGATGTTCAACTCTTTTGGATCTTCATTATGGATGCTGCCATTTTCAAAACATTGTAAAGCGGAGCATACCTACTTAAAGCATTTCTCAGGCAAGAGCAAAAGGGGGAATCTTGCTTACGTTTGTGACAACCAGGAGTTTCAAGCAAACTATTCTGGATGGCCAACTAACATAATCAATATTGAAATTCCAACAGTTCGAGGTACGTGAGGCAATCATTCATGCACCATTGATTTCACTGATAAACTGTAAGCTGCTTGAAATGCATGCTGGATATGCCTATTTATTGCTTTGCAGGAGATGAAGCTTACCCTTCATTTATAGGAGCAGCACAGGCCAACTTATCTGATGTGGAATATGGGTTTCCGACTCAGTTGTCCTTTTCTGCTCGTGAAGTCTCTGATGGAACCTTTTTCAGAACTATAGCTGATTATGACCCTGATAGTCAAAGAGTCATGTACCAATTAGAAGAGTAAGTTATTTCTTGCCACCAGTGCTTTTGTTCCTTGCTTTAATTTTAAAATTTTCTTAATAAACCAAGAGACTCAACAGTCTTGGTTGGTCAACATGGAACTTATACTAAACATATAAATGCAATTGACTTTTCCTATTGACACTATGATCGTATTTCCTCTTATCCTTCATAAAACAATGGAAGTTATGAAAATGGATTCCCCTGTAACTCTTGTAGAGAACTAATTGCTGATTAAGCTAGGCTCATTTTATCCATTAGAGTATGTTTGGTTGCTTTACAGTTTGATGTTCGGGTATTTGACGATGATGCTGCCGTCACACTAATTAAAAACATTGAACTGTCTCATCTTCCTGCATAACCTGAACTGTGAGAAAATTAAAAAAAAATGCTTAATCGGGTCAATTATGCACATAGTGGGACCTTATCATAAAAGCAACCTGTATCCTCAATTATCTTTCAATGTCAGGTCATATCATGGTGATCCTGTTCTAAATCCTTTGACTCCGTGGGATAGACCACCACTCAAGAACATCTTTTGCATATATGGAATAGATTCTAAAACTGAGGTATTGTTGTATCACAATGATTGTGAAAATTCTAACTGTTCATTTTAATTTTGATGTTTAACTTTTGTCATGTGATATTGATGATGCCTGACTTTTGAACATGTCATCAAACAGGTTGGTTATTATTTTGCTCCAAGTGGGAAGCCGTATCCTGATAACTGGATAATAACTGATGTAATCTTTGAGGTAGAGGGATCTTTATATTCCAGGTGACTATTATTCATCTCAAGGGTATCCAGTAAATATCACAGATACCTTTTCCCTTGAGTAGACATTTTAAACATAAATGTTAAAGTAATTAATGAATCAATATAGTGCTAAAACACAAATGACATGATGAGGCACTTGAGTAGTTCTCTTATAAACAGAAGACTGAATTGACTTGAGAGGAAGCTAAATTCTTGAACACCTTTGGTTGAGTTGCTTTACTTATCAATCAGTGACTTTGATAATATTATTTGTTTAAATTTTCTTTTAGGGAGCCTCTTCACATGGTCATTTTGTGATAAGTGAGAGTAGTGTCAACACAACTTTGCGTTCTATCAGACTGAAACTCGGAGTTTGACAAACTACCTGAAACCATTATGGACAGCTTGAACTGCAACACTCGTTTTAGATTGCATTGTATTGGGGATTTGTTGACAGTGACATTTTGGCATATAATTATCTTGTATTTCACTAAATTAGGTCTGGGAACCTGGTTGAAGGAAACCCTGGTGCCGCAAGTGGGGATGAGACGGTATGATAAGCATAGAGAAGATAGATATGTTTTTCTATTTGCTGATTTTGAGGTAGTATTTTGTTTTATTATATGTTACTTCTTTTGTCTGTTTAGCTAAATGATATGGTTCTGGTTTGAAGGTACCTTACCATTCGCTTTCTTGGTGCAAAAACTGGCTAGGATCAAAAGTGAACATAACAAGGGCTCCTCAGGTGTTTATAAGTGAAACTATACTCTCTATATGTATGGAATTTATTTTATATAATTGAAACTATTATCTGCTATCTAAGGGGCAGATCTTCTTCCATTACTTGTCACAAATTGTTGCCCACTTCTTAATTCTCCGGTACATCCCAAGTTAGAGTTTGGGAGTTGCCAATAGAGTTTGAAATTATAAATAAATGTCTGTGTACTCAATGTTGTCCTTATTTTCCTATCTTTCATTGTTCACCATTTTCCAGCAGTTCTGAACTCTAATCAGAAAATACATTCAAAGCTATTGTTGCCATTAAAAAAAAAAAAAAACTGTCATGTTACTTAACACCTGCTGTTATAGGTGTAGAATGCAGTGTCAAAATCTTTCCTGATCGAAATAATCGAACTACGATGTTATAAACTTCTTAACCCCCAACTGTGCCAAAAAATGGCAAATGAAACAAAGCCCCTTGTAAGTTGCTAATCGATCCTTATCTGCTAGCTAAGTCTGTCATAAAGTGGCATTTCGAAGAAAAATGCTATAATGGGTTTCTAACTGGGAAGAGGAATCGAATCTATTGACAACTTGCAGTCGGAACATGATGGTTCAGACGTCCAAATGCATTTTGATGTTGACCATCAGCCTGAAATGGATTTAGTTCCCAATATGACTAGATCTACCAGAGTCAAGTATATAACCTATTACGAAGACTCTGAAAGTCTTCCAGGAAAAAGGACAGCCGTTTGGGAGCTTGATAAAGGTAATACCGTTGAAGTTAACTTTGCCTTTGTTATGACTGAGGGTATTAAAAGCATGAGTTGCATAAGAGTGCATAGACACATAAATTGAACCATAGCTGCCTTGGCAATTAACATGGTATATTTAATGAAGAACTTCTATTTGTTTTTATATCTTACCAATTTTGACATTAGCACGAACATTTGAGTGAGGTGATTATTTTTACGTAACTCAGCTTAGCTTACGTAATTAAACCTTTCATTCATCAGTTTCCTATTTTTATTATCAGTTAATTTGTGATGTATCAATGGCAGCAAATCACAGGAACATTGTCAGATCTTCAGTACTAATGCGGGAGCTGTGGCTTGAGATGTGGCATGATATACACCCTGACAAAAAAACCAAATTTGTCACAAAAGGTAAAAAAAAAAAAAAAAAAAAAAAAAAAAAAAAAAAAAAAAAAAAACTCTAGATTTCTTACAAGCACCCTAGTCATGATAGCCATATCATATTCTTTCATCATCCCATTTCCCCCAAAACCAGCTACTCGTGGACCTCTGAGGGATGAGGACTGCTATTGGGACTACGGCAAAGCTCGATGTGCATGGTCTGAGCATTGTGAATACAGGTCCACTTCTTCTCTCCCCGCGAATCATCACATTTCTATTTAAATGCCAAGAGCTTGTTAAATTTTATTATTACTGATTTTATTATGTACATAATTGTATGTAGATATCTTTTCGGGGATGTTCACCTAGGACAGAGCTGCAGGATAAAGAATTCGTCGGCTGACCTACTGTTGAATTACGTATAAACTACAGGATATTTTTTAAGAGGTAAGTTTAATTATAAATTGCATCAGCATGTGCCCCTTAAGAGGGCATTAAAGAATGTCATGGGTGATGGAAGCTTTGAGTAAAAAAATAATTAACATGATGATCAAAATAAAAATATCAGATTATACTTGAGGCCTCACAAGGACATTATTTCATTCCTTTTTTATTTTTTCTCTTTGGTTTTATTTTTCAGTCGTCCAAGAGGAGAAATAGGTGGATAAGCTCCCTATCGGCTTATGAAGTTTTGGCTCTTTTACGCAATGCAACGTAAGTTTTTGCTCTGATCAGCTTTTCTTTGTGAAGGACAAATTAGAAAGATGACATAGTTTCAGCAGCAAAGATATGCGGTCACTCCACCAGAAAATCGAACAATTATGAGGTCGTCTTGCTTTTAAACCTTATGGAGAACCAAGAAAAGCTGGGCGAATTTCACTTAGTGTCCATATTTGAACAACTGAAAATGCTTGTACATTTGTGTAAGGAATTGTGGATCAATCAACCTATACTCACGATAATCACACACACACACACACACACGGGTTTTAGTACTTGGACATATCAGGAAACAATTTTGTATCACAATACAAACGACATCAGCTTATCACATATTAGAGCTTTGATAACATTACTACTATTGGCTTGTTTTTATAAATCAAATATATATGAGTTAATATACTTCGTCCAATGAAGGTTCGTGTTTATAGGAAAAATATCTTCAATATTATGTTTTCTCAAAAATATCATTTACTAAGGCCACTTCATTTGAGTTCCAAGAGCAAGTGTTATTTTGTAAATTAGGCTTGAAAATCCTTGCATTCTCTCTATGAATTAGGCTTCAATATCCTTGCAATTCTCTATGTATGTAGTGAGGTTTTCAGCTTTGGTAGAAAATTCATTACCTCTGGGTTCACGAATATAGCAAATTTATATTTGCAAGGATCATTCGTTTCACAAGCCTAATTGGTCAACAATTTATGTTATGACTTGATGTTTTAGAGCTATGGGACTTGGAAAAAGTGATACCATTATATCAACAGTTGCTGTTCCACTTGCGGGCCACATGATCGAGCTGCAGTTCATCTGAGCAGGCCCAGCCCAACCTATGGAGTGGGCTTTAAAATGGTCTGGTCGGTCCGAACGCTGTGGATCTGGATCGACCGGCTAGTGTTTGATTAATTTACTTGGTCATCCAATGTTCTTCAAGCCCAAGCTGCATTAATATCATAGTTTCAATAATTTCATCACCGAACAGGAAATACATGCTTAATAATTTCGTTGATACTGTTTAATCTCGAAAACAGGCATAAATAAAGGAACAATAAATAAATAAATAAACACGAAAGTCGAATCAAGAGATGAACAAGGCAATAACAATCTGTTTTCATTCATCAATTTCCTCATCAATTTAAACAAAATAGAGGGAAAAAAAAATACAAAAACAATAATTTCTACAACAAATTACATTTTCGTTTTGCTCAATCGCACAAATAAATGTCACCAATCATCTGAAGGGCTCTATGGGTTCGGTTTCTTGCAGAGAAGTAGCCGCTTGAAAACACTCGGCAGCTTTTACCAGACTACCTTCTTCCTTGTACAGTAAACCGAGATTATACCAAGCAGCAGCATTCATTCTGTCGAGCCGTAAAGCTTCTGTTAGGAAGCTTCTGACTACCGGGGATGATTGTGAACTCATCTGTCTCAGAACTATAGCCTTAGAGACGAGACTCGGGACATGTGTTGGATCGACTTCCAGTGCAAGGGTATAAGCTTTTAGTGCTTCTTTAAGGTTGTCCCTGGATTCTTGAAGCAAACCTACATTTATAATTAAAACCCACTGGAAATTCAGAAATCTGATTGTAACCAGTACACATCAGCCCAAGTAGGGCCCCAATGGTGTAAGCTTATCACATCCGAACACAAGGCAAAGTTAAAAAAAGGTATCAAGAAGTTTAGTATAGTTGGTGAGAATTTGGAAAAATAAAAAATAAAAATTGTTCATTGTCTTAAGACTACAAATATCCCTCCAGTTCATATTTGTTTTACAAATTGATTCCTGAAAATAGGTGCAATTTAAGAAGATCTAACATTTTTTAGTAGCTCAGTCTCTCATAGAATCAGACGGTAATGCCATTCGCTTCAGTGAAATGAACCAGAGAATGTGTATCATTCACTTGCTCAATTATTTAATTTTACCGTCGTTTTGTCTTCAGCCAAAAGCTCCTCCGAACCATTAACGGGAGCTCTTAACCCCTATTACTTTTTTCTTCTTTTTCGTTTTATTAGCCAGAGTACATTTCTGGGGTGACAGATTTTCTCCACAGCACATATATGGCAGTGAAAAAAAAAAAA